TTCCGCGTGATGAGCTGATACTTCTCCTGCGGGCCGGGAGCGGGCTCCATAGCGGCGGCTATAGGGCAGGACACACCGTTAGCAATGCCACCGCCCCCCGGGACCCTCCGGAACSCCCCAAAATCCCAAAATCCCCCAAACCCTCCCGGTTTTCCCCGCCCGCTCCCACACACCGGCTCCCGGTTGCATCAGCCCCGCTCGGCTCTCGACTGCCGCGCCTGGGCCTGCCGATCGCCGAGCTGCGGATGGGGACGAGCAGGAACGGGGTCATCCTCCAATCAGAGAGCGCCTCGAGCAGCGGGGTGCCAGCTCTCCGCCAATCAGAAAGCGCCTCGCGCGGCGATGAGGCCGCTCTCCGCCAATCAGAGCGCGYCTCGCGCCCGCGGGGGGTGTGGCCTTGGCGCCGTTAAGATGGCGGCGGGTGAGCTCAGTTCCCGCCAGGCCCGGYCGGGCTCAGCTTTGTCTCAGCGCAACTTAAATTCTCGCATTTATTTAGGGGGTTTTCACCCTTTTTTTTTTTTCTTTCCGGGGATCGGGGAGTTTCCCACATTGGGGCGGGCCGGGAGGAAGAGCCGGGGGCGGGGCGGGTTTGGCCCTGCCTTGGGGCGGTGCCGTTGAGGCGCCGGTTGGGCGGTGCCCGCTGAGGGACGGGCCGGTCCCTCACGGAGAGATTTGGGGGCGGTATTTTCCTCAATGCCCTCGGTGAGGTGAGAGCTGGGCCCTCTCCCGCCTCCTGAGGTTTTTATCTGGAGAGGGAAAAGCTCCARGGTGACTTCACTGCAGGTTTTTGTGCCTAAAGGAGCTCCAAAGAGCTGGAGAAAGGCTTTGGAAAAAAAGCCTAGAGAGCCAGGATAATAGGGAATGGCTTCCCATTGCCAGAGAGCAGCTTTGGATGGGATATTGGGAGAAAATTCCTCCCTGTGAGAGAGGAGAGGCTTTTGCAGAGTGCCCAGAGAAGCTGTGGCTGCCCCTGGATCCCTGGAAATGTCCAAGGCCGGGCTGGACAGGGCTTAGATCAACCTGGGCCAGTAGAAAACATCCTTGCCCACAGCAGAATCTGTTTTTCCAAACCATTTAAAGTCTTTTTTTCCAAACCATTCTGGCATTGCGTGGTTAGGAGCTGAATTTTCAGATTACCACACTCCTTAGGTCTAAATCCACACACGTTCTTGTGCAGGTTTGGTTCACCAACAGAGCTGATTCCTGAGCTATTCTCTCCCAGAACACAATTCTGAAAGTTTCCCTTTTCACRATTTAGGCAGAATGACAAGGGAAAGCAGCAGAATTGCCCAGGTTTCATTCCTTGAGTGTGTAACCCTCCCTTTTTTTCCAACAGTAGTCAAAGCAACGGAAAGACAAAAGACATTCCTATAAATCCTTGGTCAAAGAGGACAGGAAATACCTTTTCTTAGTTCAAATTCTGCTGGCTGAGAGTCAAGTGAAGGCCTTTCAGGTCCAAAGATTCCTTTTGGGGTGAGTCCTCACTCAGGGGGAAACAGAGTTTGTTTGTGAATAATCTGAAACTATTGAATTTTCCAGGAAGGTTCTTTATCTGKAGATCTTGGATTAATAATGAATATTTTTTGTGACTAATCCCCTGCTCCACGTGCTTTCTGCTCCCTGACAGAGTTCCTCTTCCTTTGCTCAGTTTTTCCCAACCCCAAAAAAGATTTTTAATGTGTTTATTTATCTCCGAAGGGCTTAGATGGGGATTGAGACACTTGGAGGCTTTTATTTAATG